CAAAACCCAAAAGCATAAAAAAGACCAGGCTGACTGATTTGAACAGACTGGTGAAACTCCCAAGACTATGGCCCTGAGTCATCCTTGGGGCTGGAATTGAACTCACTCCTGTGGCTTAACTTTGAGCCAAACAATAGACAGGTCTACAAGGTGAACAATTATACCAGGGGCACACACTCCTTAGAACAATTAACCATGGAAGATCAGAAGGGTAGTATTTGCACAGGGAGAAAGCTCAGAAGGCAGGAATGCATAGGAAAAAAGGACACTGGGAAAAGGTAAACACAAGGAGGAAGTGGGAAGAGAGCTGTTATGTTGTAGAGATTGCAATCAATGTCACAGAACAAAATGTGTATGAACTGTTGAATGGGAAACAAATTTGCTCTGTAAATTTTCACCAAAATCATGATTAAAAAGTTAAAAAAAAAAAAAAAGAATGTAAAACAGGGGGATTGAGGCTCCCTGAATCCTACCTACTAAGAACAAGAGTTTGCTTGGGCTTCCTATATGCCAAACACTTTACATAGGATAACTCTTTTATCCACATGATATGTTGGTACCATTATTATCCTAGGAGTCTCTTGGTGACACAAACGGTAAACATGCTTGTCTGCTAATTGAAAGATTGGTGATTCGAGCTCACCCAAAGTCTTCTTAGAAGAAAGATCTGGAAATCTACTTCTGAAAAATCATCCATTGAAAACATTTCTCTGAGTGAAATAAATCAATCACAAAGGACCAACGTTTTGTGATTTCACTAATGTGAAATACCTAGAACAGGCAAATGTATAGTAAGGGTTTAATAGAGTTTAATAGCTCTGGTGGCATAGTGCCTAAGGCATTTGACTGCTAACCAGAAGACTGGCGGTTCAAACGCACCAACCACTTCATGGAAGACTGGACAATCTACTTCCGTAGTGATACCGCCTCGGAAACCCAAGGAGAGGTCACTAGGAATTGGATCAGACTCCATGGCAGTGAGTTTGTTTGTTTTTTGTTTACCAGGGGTAGGAGGGAGGGGGTAGGCAGAATCCTTATTTAGGCAGCAGTGAGTTTCTGTAGAGAAAAAAGATTTCAGCGAGAAAACCATACATTTGGAGCAGTTCTGCTCTGTCACATGGTATTGCTGAGTAGGAACTGACTTGTCAACGCCCAACAACGATTTACCACTCCTAGCAAGGACCCATTTTGGGAGACTCCTCATCTTCTTTTTCTGGTTTGGTTCCTTATCTAAATTTATCTGCCAAAGGATTTATCTACCCAAGAATGACATTTCTAGGCTCTGCATGTCCACTAAAGTAAATCAAAGAGATCTGTTAAACTAATTCTTACATCCATTCTGGAGGCAGTATCTTCCCCATTTTCTGACCTGATACAAAACGATTAATCTGAATATATATCATTTCTAGGTCTAGATTTGAACACATTTTAAAAACATAATAATTAAAACTGTATGGTATCTAGAGAAGATTACACGGGTATTCCATATATTCACTATGATTTGAAGAGAATATAAAATGCATTTTAAAAACCTGGTACTATAAGGCAATGTGAGAAGAATCCTCAATAAATAGTAGTAGGATAAATGGCTGATAATTTGGAGAAAAATTCCATTTCAACCCATACCTCACACTATATACACATACATGTGCACACACAGTCTAAGTGGAATACTAAAGGAATTAAATATTATTAAAATCAAAATGTTAGAAAAAATAAGCCAAATATGAAACATTAATGAGAAGATTTTTCTTTCTGAATTCAGAATGTCAGAAGAAATCATAAGATCAATAGACCTGACCATGTGAGAATTAAAATTTTCTGTAAATCAAAAATAAAAAGACAAATTAGGGAAATATTTGCAGATAATCTGATAGAGAAAGTTAATGTTTTTATTTAAGAAGAGTTCATGTAAGGGGATAGGAACATTACAAATCCAATAGATAATAAACAAAAGTAAAGAACAGAAAATCAACACAAAATACACTAGTGACAAAATATTTGGAAGAATATGTAATCTCAATAAAGATCAAAGAAATACAAGTGAAAACAACAGCAGAATGCCATCTTCTATGTATATGTGTATATTAGCACATATATTTTATGTGTACAGCTAATACAGTATGTTATAGCAAAACTGGTACACTTGCACATGATTTATGGCATTATAGTTGGCATAATTCTTTTAGAAAGCATTCTGTCAATATATATCCAAAGACTTTAAAATTTGTTTCAGCAATTCTGCTTCCAAGAATCTATCAAAAGGAAGTAATTCAAAATATGGAAAAGTTCACAAACATCTAGATGTGTTATTTTAATAATAATGAGAAATTAGAAAACACTTGACAGTCTATCAAGAGGTAAATGGTTAAATAAGTTATGATTCTTCAGTTAAGGGGATTATGCTGTCATAAGGCAAGTACAAAGACTAGATAGCAATAGGGGAAAAAACCTTTGATATAATGTCATTGAGCAGGTTCTGACTCACAGCAACCCTATGTACAACAGCATGAAACACTGTCTGATCCTGCAGCATCCTCACAGTCATTGTCATACTTGAGCCCATTGTCGCAGCCACTGTGTCAATCCATCTCATTGAAGGTCTTCACCTATTTAACTGAGCCTATACTTTACCAAGCATGATATCCTTCTCCAGGAACTCGTCCCTTCTGACAACATGACCAAAGTACAAGAGACGAGGTCTGGCCATTCTTGCTTTTAAGAAGCACTTTGGCTATACTTCCTCCAAGACAGATCTGTTCATTCTTCTAGCAGTCCATGGTACATTCAACACCACAATTTAATGCATCATTTCTTCTGTGGTCTTCCTTATTCATTGTCCAGTTTTCACATGCATATGAGGCTATGGGAAATACCATTGCTGGGGTCAGGTACACCTTAGTCTTCAAAATGATATCTTGGCTCTTTAACACTTTAAAGAGGTCTTTTATAGTATATTTGCCCAATGCAATACGTTATTTGATTTCTTGACTGCTGCTTCCATGGGCATTGATTGTGGATCCAAGTCAAATGAAATCCTTGACAACTTTAATCTTCTCTACAATTATCATGATATTGCTTATTGGCCCAGTTGTGAGGATTTTTGTTTTCTTTATATTGAGGTGTAATACATACTGAAGGCTATAGTCTTTGATCTTCATCAGTTAAGTGCTTCAAGTCTTCTTCACTTTTAGCAAATAAGGTTGTGTCGTCTGCATATCATAGGCTGTTAGTGAGTCTTCCTCCAATCTCAATGCCACATTCTTCTTCATATAGTCCAGCTTCTTGGATTATCTGCTCACTATACAAAATGAGTAAGTATGGTGAAAAGATACAACCCTGGTGCACACTCTTCCTGATTTTAAACCATGCAGTATCCCCTGTTCTATTGGAATCACTGCCTCTTGGTCTATGTACAGGTTCCTCATGAGCACAACTAAATGTTCTGGAATTCTCATTCTTTGCAATATTATCTATAATTTGTTATGATCCACACAGTGAAATGCCCTTGCAGTCAATAAAACACAGTAAACATCTTTCTGGTATTCTTTGTTTTCAGCCAAGATCCATCTGACATCAACAAGACGGCTTGTTCCACACCTTCTTCTGAATCCAGCTTGAATTTCTGGCAGTTCCTTGTCAATATACTGCTGCAACTGTTTTTGAATGACTTTCAGCAAAATTTTACTTGTGTGTGATATTATTGATATTGTTCGATAATTTCCACATTCTGTTGTATCACCTCTCTTTGGAATGGGCACAAATACCAATCTATGATACCATGTTAATTGGAAAAAAACTGGAGATAACATACAAAAGGTATGTTCATAACTATGTAAATCATGCATAAAGATAATAGAATTCAGAAAAAGAATAAAAATAATTAATGTGCTTGAGTGGTTATTATTAAGGATCTTTTTTTTCCATTTTTATTAAAATTCTCTGTAAGTTTAGATTATTTTCATCAATTTAAAATGAAATAAAATTTTATTTTGGGGAAGAGTAGATAGGAGACTGAGGCAGACCCATAGAGGGGATATCTTTGGGCAGCTAAACCCATTGCCATCGAATTGGATTTGACTCTTAGCAACCCTTCTTTGGGTTTGCAAGGCAGCAACACTACAGAAGTAGATTGCCCAATCTTCCTTCCGAGGAGTGGCTGGTGGGTTTGAACCACCAGTCTTCTGGTTAGCAGTCAAATGCCTTAGGCACTACACCACCAGAGCTCTTGCAATTTCCTCAGTCACACAGCAAGTGCTCACGTGGGGAAGGTCAAAGTGGAAACCCAAGCTCAATCATGAGACCCTTAACAGAAAAAGAAAAGAACTAAAATCCTACTATAAATCATAGAACATTAGAGCTGGAAGGAGTTTAAGAGATCATGAAGCTCACCTCCTCCCAAATACACAAACATAATTTAACTTAAGGAGAGGGAGGATCAGAGAGGCTAAAAGACTTGCTCAGAGTCACACAGCAAGTTAATGGCCAGATTGGACTAGAGTCCAAGTCTCTGACTGGGACCTAGGTCCCAGAATTTTCTCTCTTCCACCAGATCTTGGTTCAAGAGAAAAAACAAAAAAAGAAGAAGAAGAAGTAAACTTCAGGAAGAATC